TGTCTCGTTCGTCTTCCTATTCTCCATCTTTGCGGTCTAAGGGTGGTGCCGCAGTGTCTCGCTTCTCTAGTTGCGCGCTCCACGCTGCAGCTTTATTCAGGGCGTTCTCGGCTCCCCCTTCTTTTCTTCAGTGGTGGGTCGAGTAGTAGACAAGAACTCGTGTCTTAATCACGGCCCCTGCAAGAGCGGCATTTGTCCTCGAATTCACAGCTCCATGCATAACTTCCTGAGATGTGCTCAGGATCTGTAGAGTAGCTCCATCCGACACCAAAGGTCTTCTGTACCACCTTGTTCAAGGGCATGTGCTGTGTCAAGGGCATTATCGCAGACATGCAAGGTGGCAGAGTACCCTCCGCTTGATTTATGTTCATAGTCTCCGCATTCCATATCGAAAGTCTTTTTTTTATCGCAGGCATAATTTCACAAAATGTCTACCATAGTATTGATGTGACGATATTGCTTCAGGCAGAGAGACCTCCAGAAAAGAAGCGAGCAAAACCAAAGAAGGAGGTTTGTTACTAATTTGCACTTTACATTTCCTGTGACACCATTACTTTGTTGTTGCAACACTGAAATGCTAACGATTCAGGAGGAACTTCCTGAGCAGAAAACAGCCGACACAGAGGTGATACAGATAAAATTCACTGCCCTCATTGAAAAATATGTTTCTAAAAAACGTTTTTAGGTTAAACGACGACCCAAGACTACTGTGGAAAAGAAGCGAAAAGTGTGTGACTTTCCTGACCATAATACGAGCAATTGCATTCTTCTTAAACACATTGAACGCTGCGGCTCCCAATCGAGTGCTTTTCCTGACCGGACGCGTGCATTGCTGACAATGCACGCGCCAGGCCAGGGAAAAGAACCAGGAGTCTTGCTGCGGTCTGAGTGTTGCTAACTCCAAGCGTCAAAATTTTTTTTGCCTAGACATCGTTTGTAGGGTGATTCACGGTACTGTAAAGTCCCTGTAAAGTATGTAACATAAAACCTTCTTTTGGCGTGAGCGACAGAATGGCGCGCAATGGTTCCACTTTTTCTACCAACATTGATGCCACCTTGTGCACTTGGGTTCTAATTACGAATAGGTAATCTTTCGCGTAAAATGCTGTTTGGTGCCAGATTTTCGCCAATGCCGATAAAGACACACACCACGGTTCACCCACGCTTGAGGACGATCTTTTATGCAAGGTGACTGGGTCCACGGCTGCTAGCGTGCCACTTCCTCTGATATGCGAGTGCAGCTCCATACTTTACTGTGCCCACTGCAAAGTATTTGCGCCGATACCAAAATCCTGATAGAGAACCTTAGAAGAGGGCCGAGAACTGCCACACTGCAGGTCCTTTATCGTGCAATTTTTGGCGGAAAGGGCATCTACTGTAGCTGCGAACCCAATCACCACACATCTGACAACAGTCCACGAAGGTACGTGCACAGTTTGCCCTTAGGTGCAGCTGGTGGAAAAACTCATGAACGCCCTGAGATAATTTTGATGCTGCAGATGAAGATTGTGTAATTATGGACTCAATTACCTTTGTGATTGTTTTACTCCAATAGGGTGTGTGTTGGACCAACCGTCTCACAAACAAATTTATTCTCTCCACTGCGACCATCTTGTCATTTAAATAGTGAAGAACAATCAATAACCAATACCGGTGTTGACCGGCTCAAAGGGCGTCTCGTGGTTGACGGGTTCTTACAGGTATTCTGTCAGGGAAGGCATTAGAGTGGTTATCAGCTTAAAAAAGTTCCTTGGAAGGCTGCCCCTTTCACATAGGCACCCGTAACCTGGATTTCTATACCCTCCATCCAGCACTCTTTACACGACTCTCCTCTTGCGAGCCCATACTGGTCCATCTTCTAACACGCTCTCCCCTCGGGTAGACATCGTCCCCGATGTCGGCCTTTCCATTTTTGGTAGCATTGCTCCGACCGCACGATTTCTCACAGCTTCATAGACATGTTTGGGTAGAGCAGTGCCTACGTAGTTGTGGAAGAACTGTGCGCTTCCCTCCGGAGCGCCTATCTCTATGTATAATTTACCGTCCAGCAATTTGTGACTGGCGGTGCACTGTACATTTTCCTTACTATTGAGCTTCAATAGGGCTTCATCGAGAGTTCTTCCATACTTCTGAGGTATTCATCCACTTTGATTGATTGTTTGCCGTGATCGGCGGCCATGCGGTCGCGATGGAACCTCCTTCATCCAAGATAGTTTTTAGCTGTCTTTCATTAGCTTTTCTGCTATATCGCCTTTGAGCTCGGCATTCTGCGGCCAAACTATCACCCACGCTTTGGAGGTCTTCCACTCCTCCATCAAATCAGCAAGGCGATTCCAGTTCTGAACAACTTTGGTGACGATGCCACCACGAATTCCATCTTTTTCCATCGGATTTGCGCCTTCGAACGTGGCGTACAGAACAGGTCCCTTTTTCTTGGGCCGTTCCCGCACTGAGTCCTCTTCAATTTCTTCACGGAGTTTCCTCAATGCTTCTGAATATGAGCGATGGACGATATGATTCTCAATCGCGGTGTGCTCGGCTATGTATTGAGTATTACAGATAAAGTCGGTCCAGTCTATGCATCGTCCATAGGCAAACTTCAGGACAATCTTCAATGAATCTGCGTCAAAACAGATGTGTCCATCACGGTGGTATCTGATTTTCGTTCCTAAATCAATGTCGTTCCGACGAAATATGCTGCATGCGAGCCAAGCGCTCCACAGGTTCTCGATTTCCTCCTTTGCTACTGCACCAGGAAACGACACTCCTTCGATATCTCCGAGAGTCGCTCCTTGCAAGCAGTCGTCGGCGCACTTGAAAAGAAGATGTCCTTTCTCCAAGGGGCTTGAGTAGCGACGCTCCTCTGAAACGAGCATTGGTAACTTTACACACCTTCGTTATTTCCTGGGTTTTCTTTCTACCCTTTTTCCTCTGGTGGTTTGTGTGTCGATTCTTTCATCGGAAATACAGTGTGGCACAATTCTTAGCTTGTCAAACTGTATTCTGATAGGATCTACGTTATCTCCTATCCTCGTGACTAAGGCTGAATTTTCGCTGGTTTCAATCACTCTGAATGGACCACCCCATTCTGATACCAGTTTTGGATGCGCGTTTTTACCCTTCTCACTTGGCGACACAACGTACACTCTATCCCCTCTCCACTCTATCGTACTTTGGGATGACGTTTATTCACCTTGTTCCTTTTGTCGTACGACCTCTTCATTCCTTAACGAACACGGTCGTTGTGTTCCTTCACTCTTTCGTGATCCTTTGCTACACCTTGCAACAGTTCGGTTTTATAGTCATCTAACGGCCTGTCCAACAATTACCGCGACTGTCCAGCACTGAGTAATAAGGTCTGTTGGGAACCTTAGGATCCCTGCCATGTAATATGAAAGTAGGGACTTTCCCCTGTAGCTGAATGCGGCGTTATGTTGTGCGCCATAAGAAAAAATGGAAGTCGTTATCCCACTAGTACCGTCGTGCTCTTCGCAGCATGGCAAGATGATACCGTAGAGTCGCCCCATTTTTTCTAGGATTGTATCCTTTAGTCATTGAGTGTTTGATCTTAGTAATGTCTGTTATTTCCTCCATGACTTTATTTTCAAATTCACCTCCCCTGTCTGACAGGATAGTTTTGGGCCAGCGGCATCCTTCCGCTATCCACCGTACGAAAAGTGTCTGAGCCACGGTGCGCGCTGACTTGTCGGGCACCGGGTAAGCTGCGGCAAACTTGGAGAACAAATCTATCACTGTCACGGCATATCTATTCCCCTGCGAAGCTAGTCCTAGTTCTAGGATGTTAATCCCGATTACTTGATACGGACTTTTCGTCTCGTCCACTTATTGATGTCTTGTGCCATGTTAGACCAGAATAGCTTCGATAAGATATGCAATAGTTTTTGAGCACTAAAATGCGCTCCGAACGGTCCGGCGTGAGCTTCCCGGAATATCTCATGTCTCGCATTTTGCGGCACCACAAACACTTGTGTGCCGTCTTGCTTATACAACATGAGTTCGCCGTCGACTAGAGTGAAATCTGCCACACGCATAGGGACTTTGTTTTCCTGGCAGTTGCACTACACTATTCGTCTTACCATTTTCGATGCAATTTATGACCTCAGCAAAAATGGGGTCCTTTTCTAACTCTGTTCTCCAACGAGGTTTTCTCTTTTGAATTTCAGTGACTTCTATGGCGCTGTTCTCGCCCCGAGCGACTCTTCTATTGTCGCACTTGCTGCTCTGCTGAGCGCGTCGGCTATTACGTTAGCTTTTCCTTTCACATACTTAATGTGAAGATTGTAGCGTTGTATTTCCAATGCCCACCTCAAAATACGCGTGGACACATTGCTACGTTGGAATAGCGCGGTGAGGGGCTGATGGTCTGGTCCGTAATGACTGTTGTCCGTAGCCCGTATATGAACATATGAAACTTTCTCAGGGCAAATACCACATCTAACGCCTCTAAGTCTGTGATGTGGTAGCGCCTTTCTGCTTTGCTAAGTGATTTGGAGGCAAGAAGATTGGGTGGGTGTCCATCTTTTCCTTCCTGCTATAGTACCGCACCCAGTCCTGTTGTTGAGGCATCCGTACATATTACAAATGGCCTTGTCGCTGCTTCTCGCAGCTCTCTACGTCCGGCTGTGCTAGAACCGGGGCACTACAATTCATGTTTTTCACTTTTTCAAACGCTTCCTCGTGCTCCGGAGTCCATTCCCACTTCGTCTTCGCTGAAATAACTTAAAGGCACTTTCCGCGATAAAATAAGGCTATGACCTTTCAAATGTGTCAGACGATCCGGAAGGAGATTGCGGAGGCTGCGCTACCTTTAGAAAGTGAAAATCGGCAAGAATTCCGCTTTAAGCTAACCAATTAGGCCCATGGGCGCCCCTTAGGCCCATGCCGACCCCCGGCTGCTAGCTACTAGCTAGTAGCCACTATGCTATCTCTCTCCATTCCGAATGGTGAGAGTGAGGTGATACGATAAAAGAGCTGATATCTTTATGATAACGACGAGTGGAAATTCGTACAAACATGCGTTTTCTTCATTGCATGCATGTACAAGTTGGGGTCGATATGGAATCCTATTTAGGGCATTTTCGGCTGTTTTTCTGCTGCTTTTCTCCGCTAATCAGATACCTAGCCCTTTTTCGTTCCTATGTGGGTTCCGTTACCCACAATCTGTGGTCGCGGGCTTTGCCTTTAACAAGCAGCCGGCATGTTTTGAAAAGCCCAAGCAGAATTTTCGATAGTACGAGGCCATTCCCAAAAACGTTCTTAGCTCCTTCACATTCTGTGGTCTTGGGTACCCTTTCACTGCTTCTACCTTTTTGGGGTCCATGTGCACTCCATCAGCGTCGATCAGGTGTCCTAGAAAAGCTACCTTGTTTTGTAGGAGCACACACTTTTTCGCTTTCAAGCGTAGCCCGGCTCCTCTCAATTTCTCGCAGACTTTGCCGAGCAGCTCCAAGTGTCTTCCCTTTGTTTCCGTGCAGATGATGATATCGTCTAGATAACAGAAAACTTCTGTCCCTAGCAGATCGTGGAGTACATCATCCATGAGCCTTTGGAAAACGGGGGGGCTTGTACTCAGTTCAAAAGGGGTCACTTTAAACTGGAACACCTTTAAACCCTCGCCGTTCATAGTGGGATCTGCCATTATCCACTGCATAAATCCAACGTCGAAAAAAACTTTTTCCCAGCAAGATTTGCAAGATTGCTTCAGACGTTGGAAAAGGATAGGAGTCCTTTTTGATCCACTCATTCAATTCACAGTAATCAACCCACAATTTGGGTGATCCGTCCTTCTTCTCCACTAGCACTATCGGAAAAGCCCATGGTGACGAGCTCTTCTCAATGATGTCGCGTTCTTGTAGGTCCTCGAGTAGCTCTTTCAACATAGGACGGACACTCAAAGGGATGGGTCTTGCCTTCAATTTTACTGGCGCATTATCTCCTGTATCTAATGTCCATTTCTGCGAAGTGTCGTTCTCGACAGTTCCTTCTCAGATACTGCGAATACGTCTTCGTTCTCGTTCAGTACTTCTAACCAGCTCTTCATCCAAAGAACTGGTTTCCATACTTTCCTCAAGTTGCTGCATTAGTTGCTCTCTTCTTTGCTCTTTTGTGACTGTTTCGTGAGTTCTGAGCATCAACGGATTTAAGTCATTCCACTTCTCTTGCCATTTCTCGGTGCTCCATTCTCCTACTTCTTCTCCTTCTTTGAAGAGAATAGCTGTGTCTCGGCTATTGTGAATTGGGACAGTAGCCCGTTTGTCAGATATCTTGAATATTCCACTTGCCAGTTCTCTCCTGTTAGCCCACAGCACCCGTTCATCAGGCCCTGGTTCCTTACAGTCCACCTCCATCATTGCATAGGAGTGTGGGGGCACGTATATTCTCTTGGCCACTTTTGCCTCCTGGTTTTTCTTGCGGTTCTCTGATTGCCCATCCTTACTGTATTCTTCTTCGTCCGTGAGGATCGATACTCTGATTCCTAGTTTTTGTAGTGCATTCATTCCTAACAAACCTCTTCGTCTGGGAGTGGTGTTATATGGAAGGTCAACTCCTCCTTCCTTCCACCTTCGACAGAGACTTCCACAGTTACTGCTCCTAAAATCATTTTGTTGCCTGATGCGTCGTATATCGGTCCCCGGGGCTAATAGAGGGAAGTGCATCGACATCATATCCGTTAGCTTGCGCCTTCTCCAGCAAGCTAATAGGCAATAATGCTTACCATTGAACCGGTGTCAATCAAAGCTGTTGCTTTCATTTCTAGTAGCATGATATTCTTACGGATCAGTTCTCCTATTCGGTCAGAACCATCCTGTTCCCTTCGTTTCCGGGCCTTTATCCCACAGCTCCTTGCTGCGCGGATGATATCTGAGATAAAACCTTTCTCTTTTTCGGCCCTATCAGTATCTGTGCCTCCGATTTTCTGCACTCTCACTCCTTTCCTTGGGCATTCTCTAGCGAAATGACCTGTTTGGGAGCAACTGTAGCAGCAACTTTCGCATAGCCTCATTTCCTATAGGCCTCCCTGAGCGGACTTCTCTTTCCGTCCGCTTGTGGTCATTTCTACGTGGCTCATTGTCAGCCACTTTGGAAGAATTCGCTTCTCTTTTTCGCTGTGTGTAGAAACCCTGCCTAGCTTTCCATGGGTTCCATGACATGCTTTCTGAAAGCTTTCCCTTCCCTCTTAGTTGCTTTTCTCCGAACATTGACCGTGATTGTTCAATGCTCAGGGCAAGTTGTTTGACTTCCTCGTACGCTTTCTCTGGATTGGTGCGATGTAATACGCTTATCAATTGGACATGCTCCGGCCATCCATGCAAGTTCTCGAGCAGAATGTGAGCATTTTCAAGAGACCTAGCCTCAGCCGAACTGTATTTGCTTTCCTAGCCAAGTCTTCCAGGACTGCACAAAAATCTGCTACATCTTGACCTGGTTTTATGCGCAGGGCGCGCAATTCAGTAAGGGCTCTCATTCTTCCAGCCACACAATCACTCGACAATAATGCAGCCAGCTCTCTGACAACCTCTTCGAAGCCCCTGCTGACTACACTCTCCGGTAGCGTCTTCATGATGTTCTTAGCGCGGCCCCCTAAGTGGTCATCGCCCAATATCTCTATCAGTGTGTCGTCATCTACTACGACCTTACTATATTTCCGACGAAATTTTCGAATAAATTCTTGAAAATTCTCGTTCGGTTTCCCTTTGAAAACTCCAGGATCAGCGCAAGAAAGTGACTGACGTAATTTAACAAGTTTATATTTGGATCCTGACCTGCGCTGAGTTGTTCCCTTTCCGAAGGAATCGCATAGCTGCTCCAGTTGTGTCCTGATCGAACTCCAGTCAGCGGACCTGTCCTCGTCCGTGGAAAAACACGTCTGCTGGGTTATTTTCGGTATCACCGATATTCTGCGATGAACCTCTCGAATGATTCTGATCCGTGATTCTTGGGGAAGTCCTGTGGCCACTGACTTCAGGCTCTTCACGGTAGACACGACCTCTAATGGATCTACATTCAATTCGTCACAAAAAAATGGGACGAAATGAAATGGATGTGAAAATGTGTCAAAACGTTTCCATCTCTCTCCGTAGTTTCCACGTATTCCTCCCAGTCTCCACTTGGTTCTGTCATGACTGGTTGTTTGTCACGACTTCTGTGATTTCTTTTCCCAGTGTGCGGCTTAGACTGCAGCGTCTTATCAAGTCCTCCACTGTTTGCTGCCTTCTCGAGTTCCTGCCTCGAAACTTCTCTCATATTTCTCTTTGTAACGCGCAGAGATTTTATGCTCCGCCATGAGTTCGGTCATGATTGCAGGAATGCCTTCCACACATTTGTTTAACTCTTCAAACTCGTACGACATGTTAACATGTGGAAAACTCACTGGTGTTCTGCTTTCTTTCCCTTCCTGCTCGGGACTCTCTGTATCCATTTCGTTCACCATCTGAAATCAAGTTACTTTGTCGTGCTGTTAATGTGTCCAACTTATGAAGGAAATGATCGAATCACGAATCGATTCAAATCAGACCTTGGCTGCCCCTACTTCCGGCAGTGTTTCGCCCTACAATTAGCGGCGATCGGCCTTCGCAAAGCACAATCTCTAGTAGAGCGGTTCGGCCCCCATGTGATTGTGTTACTCCAGTAGGGTGTGTGTTGGACCAACCGTCTCACGATCAAATTTATTCTCTCCACTGCTACTATCTTGTCATTTAAATAGTGGATAACAATCAATAACAATACCGGTGTTGACCGGCTTCAACTGGGCGACTCGTGGTTGACGGGTTCTTACAGGTACTGTCAGGGGAGGCCGTAGAAGTGGTTAACAGCTGAAAAAAAGTTCCTTGGAGGCTGCCCCTTTCACATGGGCACCCGTAACCTGGAATTCTACCTTCCTCCCTCATGCACTCTTTACAAGACTCTCCTCTTGCTGCCCATACCTATATCTTCCTAACACGTTTGAGGATGAAAATCACGGAGAAATTATGCATGCAGCGTCCTGGGAAACATCATCAGAAATGTTGTTATAGTGTGTATAGTGCAATTA